GATCTCTGAGTTCGAGGCCAGCCTGGTCTACAGAGTGAGTTCCAGGACAGGCACCAAAACCACACAGAGAAACACTGTCTCGAAAAAACAAAACAAAACAAAACAAAACTCAAAAAAAATATAAGCCTCAGTGTGTTTATTTGGGAGCTGCTGGCAGGACAGAAACTTCTGCCTACAACCATGCCCAACACTCATCACTCTACTTTATAAACAAGAAAATTAAGATGCCAATAGCTATCTTATTTTGTGATAGTTGGGAATCAAACTCAGGACCTTCTACATGTTAAACACATGCTCTATCACTAAGCTATCTCTTGAGCCCAGGTAGGCATTTTATTTTTGTGTTGATGGGATCCAAACTAGGGCTTTGAGCATGCTAGGCAAGTATTTTACCACCCAGCTCCACCCCAAATCCAGGGGGTATTTAAATAATTTTCAGGCAGGTAGTATTCTATCCTTTTGAAGTTGCTTAGCCATTGGTCCTGTAAGTAGGTGTAAGAGGCCAAACGGTGTCACTGTACCATCAACAGGGAATGATACTTAGCCATTTAACCTCACAAGTCCATGAGTCTGTGGAAGACAGGAATGTGTCTTATGCAGCATTACTACCTCTCACTGTGCTTGAAACATAACAAATGTCCTATTTTGGGAAAGCTTTGGAATCTTGAGTCATAGTAGATGTCATTTTGGATAACAATTTTGCTATTTTTATGCTTCATAAGTGCCTTGAGTATTTATGACTTTGTTTGGCTTTTCCAGAATGAATATAATCACTAGTTTCAGACTAACCGTATAGCAGTCATCAGGGACAAACATATCTCATTTACTCTAAAACTTTGTGGGTATCAGAATTAGTTTGTAGCTGATGAAACAGATTCAGAGAGATTAAGTCACCTGAGTTTGCACAGCTAGTGAGCATTAGTGCTAAAATTTAATGCCAGTCAGTCTGGCCCCAGATCCAATGGCCTTAACCACTCAAAAATGTCTGTATATCCCCTGTCACCTTCTTCCAGAAAACCACAAGGAAAGGTCAACCTTCAGTCATACCAGGTGACTCAGTTCTAAAGGCAGGCGGCAATGGGAATCAGTTTGGTAGTTTGAACTTCAGCTGTGTGTTTTCATTTTGTTTTGTCTATGTAATTCTGGCTGGAACTTGATATGTAGACAAGGCTGGCCTTGAACTCACATAGATTCACTTGTTTCTGCCTCCCACATACTGGGATTAAAGGCCTATACCACTAGGCCCTCGATGTTTCATTTTTGGTCTTCCTGTTATAATGTAAATTCCAAATGGAAAATTTTGTTTGTTTTGAACAAAATAGCCACCTCATCATTGTATTTGGAGTTTTCCTGTCCTGGGAGCTGCTTCCAAATTACCACACAGAGACTTACATTAATTGTAAATGCTTGGTCAATAGCTCAGGCTTATTCCCTATTTTCCTTTATTCCTTATTTATGCTCTGCCATGTGGCAGTACCTTTATTAGCATGGCATGTTCATCTCCTGCTCCTCTGTGTCTGGCTGGCAACTCCTGACTCTGCCCTTCTCTTTCCCAGCATTCTCAATTTGGCTTTCCTGCCTAACTTTATCCTGTTCAGCTATTGGCCAGTCAGCTTCTTTATCAAACCAATCACAGCAACAAATCTTTACAGTGTACAAAAGGATTATTCCACAGCAGCATCAGTGCCTTAAACAGGCAGTAAGTAGAAAATGAAAAGGTTGTATTAATGAATGAAGAGGGTATACGTTACACTAACTGCTTACGAACTTTCTGCTTCTTTTAATGTTACATACCTAATTCTGCTATGGAACATGATACCCTGTTTGATTTTAACAGCTTCCAATGAAAATGCACTTAATTCCAATCTGTTGGGCAGTGAACAGCAAGTGCTAGCATTAGATCTGCCCAAATACGACACTGAGGCCAATAAGAGTACATCAGTTTTCCTCACGCTTGGAAGGAGGTTTTGACTTTTGAAACAACATGGTAAAAATTGTAGATTTCAGAATTCTAAGTCACAGCTTAGTAACCAACATCTACCAAGGGAATGCATATTTGATGGTGGTTTTCCAGGACAGCCAGGGCTACACAGAGAAACTCTCTTCCAAAAAACCAAAAAATAAATAAATACAAAAAAATGTAAAACTCAAATCTGATCGTAAGAAGGCACTGGGAGAACTGTAGTGCAGGAGCCAGCAAGATGGCTGGGCAGTTAAAGGCACTTACTCTGTGTGCCGGACAACCCAAGTTTGATCCCCACACCCACATTAAAAAAAAAAAAAGATAGCCAGCCAGGTGGTGGCACATGGCTTTAATCCTAGCACTTGGGAAGCAGAGGCAGAAGAATCTCTGTGAGTTGGAGGCCAGCCTGGTCTATAGAGCGAGATCCAGGACAGGCTCCAAAGTTACACAGAGAAATCCTGCCTCGAAAAGCAAAACAAAAAAACAAAAGATATAGTGGCTTTCTCAGCATTCCTATAGCAAGATGGGAGTTAGAGACAGGAGAGTTTTCTGGAAGCTTTCAGAGTCAGTGAGTGCCTCAAAAACAAGGTGGAGAGGCTGGAAAGATGGCTCAGCAGTTAAGAGCGCTTGTTCTCGTACAGGACCCAAGTTTGGTTCCCAGAACCCACATTAGGTAGCTTACAAACACCTATAACTCCAGCTCCAAGGAACAATACCTCTGGCCTCCATGGCCACTCACACTCATATGCACATCCAGGCATATAATAATTAAAAATAAATCTTAAAAAGGTAGAGAATCAACTTCTGAAAAGTTATCTTCTGACTTCTATGTGCACTGTGGCATATGTGTGCCTACATTCACACACACATACACCATAAAATCATTAAAAGAAAAATATAGTTTAGCAAAGGGAATTGGAGAATGATAGGATATGGTGATTTTAAATTCTTTCACAATAATGTTTTTAATAGTGACAAGTCATTGACCTTTGGCTCTTCTGTTTGAGCATGTAACATAATGGATTTGTGTCATGTCCTGGAGGTCCTGTCTTCTGAATTAAACTCTTCCACTGATGTTTGCTTTTAGTTTCTTGCTGGTTCAGGTTGGCCTGTGCTATGTGCTTTTCTTGGGAGATAGAAACAAAGGCCTATTCATCCTGGGGGGAGGGGCACTGACAGACCAAGGAAAGAATTCCATCCAAGTCCAGCTTGGTGAACATTGAGTTTATTGGGGCTACTTATAGGTGCATGGGTGACTCAAAGGCAGTTACATCACCACAAAGTTCCTTGGGCAATTTATGGGCAACTATACAAATTAAGAGTCTCTCCTTCAGCATGGATGACTCACAAAGATCTGCACCATTGTGGAGTTCCTTGGGCCACTTATGGGGACTACAGTAATGGAAGAGTCCCTCTTTCTGGTCAATTTTCCACCTTGTATCCAACCTTGGGAGTAGTGGGGTCTCTGAGGAACTCATGACGGCTCCTGAATATGTACCTCCCCTCATGAGAGGACATTAATAGGCCTGGTTCAATGAAAGTCTCCTGTGGATGATCACAACTGCTGATTCAAGACAGCAATGGTCATATCCATCTTAGAAGAAACAACTACATGACAGCCTAGAAGATCTAATCTAGGTTTCAATCTAGAAGCTGGAAGAGTCTTGAGAGTTTGGGGTATGTGGGGGATCAGAAACGGGCAGGGCTGAAGAAGTGTAAATAGGACTTCTTTAGGTAGGCTAAGGTAGAATTGTCTTTACTTCATCACCTCTGGCTTAATCACTTAGGAAGTAAAGACAGCCGAATGGCTTGGCAGGGTCTAGAGGTAGTTGGAGGGGAAGTTCTAGGCCGAAGGAAGAAAGTCGAAACATTTGCTGAACGAACAAGAACGGTGAGGACAGGTGGTGGTGACTGGGGAGAAGATGGACAGCTACCTCCATCTGTTAGGATTCGTTAGAACTCAGAAAACAGTATTCTTCAGCTTGAGGCAAATTGTATTTTCACAATCATGTGTCAAGTATGAATAAAAGCATTTTCCAACAACTTCGTTCTGTAAAGCAACTTTGAGCCGGGCGGTGGTGGCGCACACGGCTTTAATCCCAGCACCCCCGGGGGGGGGGGGGGGCTGGGGGGGGAGGAGGGGGCAAGAGCTAGTCGGATCTCTGTGAGCTCAAGGCCAGGTCTACAGAGTGAGATCCAGGCACCAAAACTACACAGAGAAACCCTGTCTCGAAAAACCAAAACAAACAAACAAAAACAAACAAACAAAAAGCAAAAACAAAAAAAAACCAAAAAAAAAATTTTGAAACAAGGTCCTATACGCCTAAAGGTGGCTCATGGCTTAGAACAGAGAAACTCTAGCAGAGGTCACACTAATGGTTTTTGTGTTTTTTGTTTGTTTTTTTTTTTTTGACAGGCTGGTACCTGATCGTCCTCCCCGGGTCTCCTGAGTACTGAGATTACTAGTGTGCCACACGGAGCCTAACTTAGTAAGGTCTTACTTAACTATTGGTGATGATTCACTTAAGACTTAGTCGAGGACAGGAATTGGGGGTGATGATACTGGTAGTAATGAAGTCACGATGGTCTGTCCTTGTGAAGTCAAAAATCACTAAAGCGTCACGTCATCCCAGGTTGTGGCCTTCTTTCAGCCCACCACCTAGACAGCGAGGAACACCAAAGCCCACCAGACGGGCCGGGTGGGGGCTCCCGGCGGGAACCGGGTAGCCAAAGCCCGGCCCTGGTCTCTGCCTTAGCAGGGTCTCCTGAGAGTCCTCCTCATTCCCCGCCACCGTTTACAAGGCCTGCTGGGAGTTGTAGTTCAGCGGTAAGACGACTCACTCGGCCCCGCCCCCTCCTCCGTTTCCTCTCGCCCCGGATGAGGGAGAAGGCTCGGGGACGGGGGGGCGGGCCCAGAGAGCGCCGGACTACAATTCCCGACGGGCCCGAGATTCCAGTACGCTATCCTAAGTACCGCGTCGTGATCCACGCCCCGGCGCACGCGCACCGAACGGTGGCGGGACTCGCCCGCGTGCGCTTTCCCGCCCTCGCCACGCCCTGCGCCGTCGGTCGGGCTTTCCCACAAGCTGTAGGCTCTCGCTCCGCGCGCTCCTCCTCCTCGGTTTCACCCGGAGTCCAGGCCCCGCCTGTTTCCCTCCCCTAGGGCCTCCTCAGTCCTCTCCTGTCTCCTGCGCCTCTGCTACTTCTGCTGAAGGCGGAGGCTCCATGTTGTCCCCTCAGCGAACCGCAGCGGTGGCATCGAGAGGAGCAGGTGAGGCGTCCAATTTTTCCTGTACCCGCTCCGTGGTCGGTCACGCCGCCTCCCAGTGCTTCGGCTCCGAGGTGACAACCGGTCCCTGCCGCCGCCCTTCCTCGTGCGGCTCCGCGGGGTAACCTCCGCTCCGAGTTCGGAGCCGGGGGCTCCCGGAGCGGGCAGCGTCCTCAGCCGGGAGCCCACGACTTGGTGCGGGCCGCCCGGGGGTCTGGCCCGTCGAGCTCCGCCCTGTGCATGGCAGGGCGTGCCGGGCGGCGGCGCGCTCCGGAGCCGGGGAGCCGAGCCTAGAGACGACTGTCAGGCTTAACGGGACGGGATCGGCGGGGAGGTCGATGCTTTATTGTTGAGTCTTAAAGTGCTGGAATGCTGCGGTGCGGCCTTGGAGTTGGAACGTTTTATTTTAATCGGAACGACCTTGAGGCACTGACAAGTATTAGTAAAGTTTGTTTTCCACCCGCACTTGTCTCCATGTTAGGAGATAAAAGAACTAGCCTAAATTGGTCGTTTTGTTTGGCAAGTTTTTTGAGTAAGTTTGGGTTCTTTGACTCTTCCGAAGACACAACACGAGGTAGTAAAAGTACTGAGTGAAAAGCACATAGTCCCGCCATACATTCATGGATGCGATTTCGCCTGTCATTTTACCTGGCACTATTCTTGTTTAATGGGTAAGCTCCCGAAATGATTGCAAGTTTCAATTGCGAAATCTGAAGGGGGTGGGGGGTGGGGAGTCAATAGCAGTGTTTGAAGAATCTTTTAGCAAATCTCTGTCTTCAAATTTGAATATGAAGTGGAATGCTTTGTGAAAGGTGAAGGAAAAACTAACGGACTAAAACGGCGTGGTTGGAATTTTTGCTTTGGAGAAGTGTCAGGTATTTAGCATGCATACAAAGTGGAAAGTCAGTTTCTGTGCGGCTTTAACGTGAGTGAAGGAGCGTTCGGTTGAAAAAAATTCCACATAATTAAGCATTAGGCCAGTACCAACATATTTTATTTGCAGTGGTTTACTGTCTCCTGTGATAGTCATAACAATAAGAAAAACAGGTAGGTGTGATTGTGTGCCAGAATAATTTTCTTCATGTTTAGTAAATAAGACCTATTTGTTTTGTGATACTAGGGATTGAACTCAGGTCCTTGCATTTTTGTGCTTTTTGTGAGCTTAACCCTAGTTCCTAGGGTTGTTCAAAATGAGTTTAAAAAAAAAATTTTTTTTTTTGAGTTGGCATGATGGTGCATGCCTGTAATCCTAGCCCTTGAGAGGTGGAGGCAGAACATGAGGAGTCAGAATTATGCTTGGCTACATAGTGAATTGAATTTGAAGGTCAGCCTGGGTTACACGAGATCTTTTCTCAAACTTCCACCCTCCAAAAATAAAAATTAAAAGAGTTGGTTTTCTAAACAAAATGATAATTACTAATTAAAACAAAATAATGGAGCTGGGCTTGATGGTACATAACTATGGTCTATCACTCTGGAGGTTGAGGTAGGAGCGTTTTGAGTTTCAGGTTTTTGTCCCAGTCAACCAAACAAAAATCCTAAAATGAATAATAGAGAATCATATGACATAAATATGAAGTTCATTTTTGCCTGTTCCTATGAGTAACTTAGATGGATGTGAACTTGTTTGAAAATTGATTTTGAATTTATTTATGATGGGCCAGCCTGATGGCTCATTATGTAAAGGCATTTTTTTTTTTTTAACCATCCAAGTTTAACAACCAGAGTTTGATTCGTGGGATCCACACCACTCATGCAAGGAGAGAACTGATTCCTACAAGTTGTTCTTTGACCTCTACATGTGCACTGTACATGTGAACACACATTAAATAAATAAATATAATAGAAATAACTAGCATGCCTGTTAATCTTTTGTCTGTTATTTTGAGACAGGACCTCATGTAGCCTAGGCTGGCCTCCAGTTGAGACCAACCTTAAACTTCTGATCTGCTTCTACCTCATGTGATTGCAGACGTGCACCATTGCGCCAGTTATGCTGTTAAAAGTTCCATATGGTCTTGTGTTTCAGGTTGAAAAGTGTTAAAGTAACACAACTACATTTTAAAATTTGAATTTTAAAACATTTTCCCTGGCTGTCTTACAGTCTAGAAGCATATTTAAAGCTTAGGGGAAATAGTGGAGAGGAATAATGCAATTTAAAACAAATCCCAGTTGTTTAGAATTGTGGTTCTGTATTATCTAGGGACTTAAAGCCTGTAAATGCTTGGGTTAAATGAGTAGATTAAAAAACAGACAAACAAACAAACAAAAAATGAGTCTCTCACTGTGTAGCCATAGTTGGCTTGGAATGTGCTTTGTAGATAATGCTGGCCTTGAACTGACAGAGATCTGCCTCCCCTTCCCAGTTTTTGAATCACCAATCACAATAAGCATAACTCATAGATTATTATTTTATTCATTCAGGGACCAGGAAACAGTGAAAGAGAAAATCCACACTAGTTTCATTTCGCATGCTTATAAATAATCAAATTTCCCTGTTGGTAGTTGTGTACATTTGAGTATTTTACTTGATAGAAAATAAGCAGTTGTTAGCAATTAGTATAAGTTAAGTGATAGGCTTTACTCATATATAGCAAGTAAGCAAAAGATTGGAGTAAGGGCAGGGATACCCTGAAATGGTAAGTCTAAGTCAAATAAATATTGCCAATTGAAGATGTTCTTGTTATTAGCATCTTCTCTCTAAAAAAGCCTATTTTAAGCTGGATATGGTGGCTCACACTTGCAATTCCAATATTTGGGAGGTGAGGCAGAATTGCCGTGGACTTGATGCCACGCTGGACTACATAGTGAGTTTCAGGACATCCTGAGCTACAGAGTAAGACCTTCTCTCAAAAAAACAAAAGATAAGCTGGGTGGTGTTTGCCAATGCCTTTAATCCCAGCACTCTGGAGGCAGAGGCAGGTGGCTCTCTGTGAGTTCAAGGCCAGCTTGGTCTACAGAGTGAGTTCCAGGACAGCCAGGGCTGTTACACAGGGAAACCCTGTCTCAAAAAACCAAAAAGAAAAATAAAAGACAAACGAAAACAACAAAAAAACCAAACCAGACTAAAACAAATCAAGAAAGGTTATTTAACTATAATTTGGCTAATTAAAACCTTCAGGTTAGATTTCCTGTGTTTAGGAAAGAGGCAAATACAATCACTATTGAATTTATCCTGTTAGAAAGTTGTTTTTTTCCCCTGGGGCTGGAGAGATGATTGCCCCGTGGTTAAGAGGAATTACTGCTTTTGCAGAGGACACTTTTGGCTCCCAGCACCACATCCAGTCTGTACCTTTACAACTGTTTGTACATTTTGCTTCAGGAGCTCAGTCACCACCTTCTGGTCTCCCTGGGCTCCTGCATGAGTCTTTTGCTCATAAACTTGGGAAAGCACACATACATACACATAATTTTTTTGAGATAGGATTTCTCTGTGTAACAGCCCTGGCTGTCCTGGAACTTGCTTTGTAGATCAGACTGACCACAACTCACAGAGATCCGCCTGCCTTTGCCTCCCAAGGGCTATGATTAAAGGTGTGAGCCACCTTTGCCCGGCCTGAATCTTTTTTTTTTTTTTTTTAGTTAGAAATGATTATCATTATTATTATTGCATGTGCATGCATGATGGTTGTGTGTGGTTGATTATGCCATGGCCTGTGTGTGGAGGTCAGAGGACAACTTTGTACATTCAGTTCTCTGCTTCTGGGTTCCAGTGATGGAACTCAGGTCAGCAGACTTTTGAAGAAGCACCTTTACTTGCTGAGCCCTCTTGGCTGCCTCGTTTCTGAATCATAAATACTGTTTAGTCATACTTGGTTGTCATAAACCCATGAAACATTGACTTTCGTGTCAACAGACAAAATGGTTTTGTTTAGCATCTTGTACTGAAGCACAAAGATTATATATAGTAAATGAATTGGGAAAAAAAACTTTCTCCTAAACCCTTTCATTAGAATATACACAAGGCCCTGGGTTCGGTCCTCAGCTCTGGAAAAAAAAAAAAATATACATTTCCAAAATATTCTGGTTGGTTGGTGTCTTAGTGTTTCTATTGCTGCGATGAAACACCATGACCAAAAAGCAAGTTGGGGAGAAAAGGGTTTATTTGGCTTGTACTTCAGCATTGCTGTTCATTACTGAAGGAAGTCAGGACAGGAACTCAAACAGGAGGCAGGAGCTGATGCAAAGGCCATGGAGAGGTGCTGCTTACTGGCTTGCTTCCCATGACTTGCTCAGCCTGCTTTCTTATAGAACCCAGGACTACCAGCCCAGGGATGGCACCACCCACCGTGGGTTAGGCCCTCCCACACTGATCACTAATAGAGAAAATGTCTTACAACTGGATCTCATGAAGTCATTTCCTCAACTGAGGCTCCTTCCTCTCTGATGACTCTAGCTTGTGTCAAGTTGACACATAGAACCAGCCAGTACAGTTGGATTTTCACACAACCTTTTCTGTGTACCTGCTGGCACATTTACTGCCGTAAGCCAAAGTTGGACATAGCAGCACTGAAAGAACTGCGTCCAGTGGTTGTGGAGTTAGGAGAGGGCTTTAAACTTCAAGTTTAGCAGACTTCCCTTTGTGATATTTTCTCTGGCTGTGTGAGTTGGGAACTTTAAGGACTGCCAGCAAAGGCAGGGCATGGAGATGGTATGCCTTTTTGTGTGTGGCTCTTGCCCAGCAGAGAATGTTATTTCAGAAGAGGACTGGAAAACTCAGGTCATAACTCCACCATGACTCATATAGTCTGCTCAGTAAAATGTGTCTGTAACTTTGGTTCCTGTGCTTTTCAGAATTCTCTGTACAGTGAGGATGAGTACTGAGGATGGTTCTAGCCTAGTAGTTCTTTTTTATTTTCATTTGTTTCTTTTCTTTTTTATTTATTTATTTTTTTTAAGCTTTTGCCTGCATGTATGTATGTACACCATGTGCATGCCTGGTGCCTGCAGAGATCTGAAGAAGGCATCGGATACCCTAGAAATGGAGTTACTGACAGTTGTGA